GTACTTTCGCAGTCATATTCGGTTGGATCATCATCTGCAAATCAAATACACATATCATAAAATATAATCACAATTACATTATAGAAAGAGTTAAGGAAGGAAGTTCGAAGCGTGTGTTTTTTTTTATTGATCTTTCTGTAAAATCAAGGTCGATTATGTCGATATACTAAACTACAGTTTATGAAGAATATAAGAGAAAAGTGAAAAGTCTGGCTGATCATGTTAATTTCCAAATTAGTGTTGAACCAATGTACAATGTTATTGACCAGAAATTCAGTTTTATTAATTTCCATCAACATAAATTATAAAAAATCGTGAAAACTTACCTACCACACAGCATATCCGACCTTTATTATCAGCACAATCTTGTACGCAGCTAGGATTAGTTGATTCAATTTCATTGTCATTGCAGTGTTTTTTACGGCATTGACCATCACAATCACTTGCACACTCATTACCTACAACACCTACACCGGTCAACAAAGGAATCTTGTTAAAGCGAAGAATGTTTACTTCTATATACCGTGATCATCAAATGTAGCATGATAAAATTAAATTCTAAATCTAAAAGTCTCTCAGAATGTTTAGTGTGAAATCGTACATGTCACCGAGAAAAATACGAGCACAACGACTGTAGACAATTAAAAAAGTAATACCTAAATTGTAGTAGTACGTGTGACAAATCTCAAATGATCAGATGACGAATGAATGAATGACAAACACGGATGCGTGATATCGATCATCATCCAAACAAATAAAACCTATAGTTGAGTGAAAACTTACCTCCCACACAGCATATCCGACCTTTGTTTTCAGCACAATCGTTCATGCAGCTTGGATTATCCGATTCATGCTCATTGTCATTGCAGTGTTTCTTACGACATGTGCCATCACACTCACTCGCACACTCATCTACATCATTGACAAAAACACATCTTGTAAAAGTGGAAAGTATTTACACCATTATAATACAAAGGATACCTTGATGAATGAATGTATACTTTTTTTCTTATTGCTTATGTTGCAGCCGACCGTGGGAGTCGAACCCACAATTTCATGATGCGGAGACGATAAACATTAAGCCACACTTCTGGTGTCACGTGTCCAAATTAATTGCAATGTGTGCTCGCTCCATTTTTATCATCACAATTACAATATTGTACGCTTGGATACACAAATTTTATGAATAATTTAAAATTTAATTAGGCATCTTAAAAATAATGTACCAGACATTTTCGAACATACCAAGCCACTGTTTTAAAAAAAATGATAATCAATCAAATCCTTCAGAATTTCGTCACACTATACACAAGTCTGCAAGTCAATATTTTTGATTCGTACGGACAGCGAGTCAAAAAAACAAGTGTTAATTTATGTGAAATGAAATGTTTATCGTCATATCAATATATAATACGTCGTATTATATCATATGGTAGTTGAAAACTTCGACATTATTAATAGATATTTTGAAGTAAATGATCTGATTTAAGATTTGTATCATGCCAGACAGTAACTGAATAAGGAACTTATAGAATATAAAACACTCACCGTGGTCTGTATTGCCGTTAGAAAGGGTAATAAACTGGAATAAAAATAATTACCATTATTGAAATAATACTACATTTGATTAAGACAGACAGACATACAGACAGATTACCTTTACAAACCCACACTAGCTGACACATACCTGGTGTTGGTTTTTATGGTGCAGCGCATACAATCATCACCACCCACTGACTCATGCAATTATCCGTAGTAACACAGACTAGCCGACACATTCATGCTTTACCATCAATCATGTTAATTTTTGATGTGGTAGAAGTCATGATAACATTATGTTCATGTTTTGTAATAAAACTGAGTAATATTTATATTATATAAGTGGTACTTACACAGATCAACACTACAAGCGTTAACAGAGAATGACTGAAATTCATTTTAAATGTATCTTCACTCGGCTGACAGACGAGTCCTGGCTGTGTGAATAGTTTTCAGTTTAGTTATATTTATATGTTACATCACCGGGTACATCAAAGAGCAGAGTTGTGGTGAAACAAACAGTATTTACCATATGTTTAGACAATTTCTGCAAGAAACTTTAATGCGATTATACATCCGATGTGCTGAGTTTAAAAATTTTGTATTACTCAGATATGCACGAACCGGATGCTCTGAACCAAATCGTTTTATTCATGTTAATATGTGAGCACCATTCCCGAAACTACGCTACTATAATTGTTTCCGCACTGCCATTATTATACCAAGTGTTTTACCTTAAACCATTCCTTCATGTGGACAGGTGCGAATTCAGTCAATAATCAATTAAACTAGATGGAACAATTAATAAAACGATAAAAAGCTGTAATGAGTTCCAATTACTCCTCATCATATAATTAAATTGTCTTTGTCAAGGTGATACATTCATTTGAATTGCATGTGACCTTAGTTCTAATTACTTAATTAATGAGACAGTTATTACGGTATACGGTGATTGAAATTAACATTCCAAACTCACATTGACTATTTCTATATATTATGTGAATTGCTGTCAGCAGAATATTCCAATGAGATTATGCAGTATATGTGCTGTGAATACGAATGCATTGTAATTATAGGTTTCCACACCATACGACCATGTCAGTTTTTGACTACAACTATTAGAGTCTGATACGATTTGTATAATACGTACATATAATAGTAGTGGCGAGTTTATTAAATGTAATTTAATGTTTATCATAAAAGGGGTAAATTTTGTATTAATAATCATGATTGTGTATCACTGGGACGTATTGTACCGCATAGGATTAATCATAATATAACTGGAGAGTTGTTTATTATTTGGTGCAGCATAGCCTTAGGTGTGTCGCTGAGTTTTTGATGTGTATAATCCCATTTCGAAAACGGTAACTGAATATGGTTCGTACGTGTCTGGCTTCTTAACTATCATTTAATTACGCTAATTTGTGTCAATGTGCTATGAATAAATTATAATCACATACCTCACCTCACTTAAAACTATTAATTCGTTGACAATCAATTATCTACGTGTGTAGTAAGTGAGGTATCCAGTAAAGTTTTAGTAAAGTAATCGTTATTTCCAAAGTAGATACCTAAATTCCCATTATCGGTAAATATATTGATGTGAATATGCAGGTATATGTTACGAGTTTACAAATGATTTTTAATTATAACAATACCATATATTTATAATCAGAATATAGTTTGACTGAGAACACTTAAGTCTGATGCATAATGATCATTTTTTTTATTTATTTGTATTGGCTAGATCATTAAACGTAATTTAGTGTCCATTATAAAGTTGTAATTTTAGTCATCAAATAATTCGCACATATTGTGCCGCATAAGATTAATTATAATATATGGAGAGCTGTTATTAGTTTGTGCAACATAGCCTAAGGTGTGTCTTGATCGGTGAGCCTTTGATGTGTAAAATATCATTTGAAATCCGATAACTGGATTCGCTTTGTACGTGTATAGCTTCACAAGAAGTATAATTGGTTGCATTA